TCCATGTTTTCATCTTGTTTTTGGAACAATTGGCTCCTTAGAGCATCAAATTGAAGTTTTGAAATGGTTTTAATTCATCCATGTTTGCACGTTCTTCATATTCATGGAAATTGGTTTGAATTGGATTTATTTGAAACACCCTTGGGTTTTGATTTTACAAACTGAGCTTTGAATCATGTTAAAGTATGAGTTTTGATGAGTTTTCTGGAAAATTGGCCCAAGATGATCGAAATTTATGGTTTAAAACTTGGTTTTGAGCTTGAAGTTCAAATCTGGAATTTCTAAAATTTGGCCTCACGCTTGAACGAGGTGACTGGCGCTCGAGCGTGGAAATCGTGCTCCCAGCATTCTTGTTCTGTTTTGAAGTCCGCTCGAGCGGAATAATTGACGCTCGAGCGGGACATTGTGTCTCATGCTCGAGCGGGTGTCGAGCGCCCAATTAAGCTTGATTTTCGCCTATCCAACACTTTTGACTGTTTTACAGAATGCTCGAGCGGGTAATGATACGCTCGAGCGGAAACTTTTGTCTGCATGTCCGCTCGAGCGGAGTAACCTACGCTCGAGCGTAACCCCTGTTTTCTGAAAAGTTTGAAAATACTTTTAAAGTGCATCTTTGCATTCTCATCTCATTCTAGGCATTCTTAGGCCTAGTTTAAGATATCTTATTGAGGATATAGATGTAGAACCACACCGAGGCAAATTAGGGATTAAGTTGTTATCTTTCCCAACTGTGTAGCTTAGTGTGTGTTCAATCTGTAACTGTGTAGGGTTGGCGACTGGGGACGCGCTCTAGCTTTACTGTAGCCCAGAACTCTGTGAGTAACAACTGTGTAAAGATATGTTCAAAATGATTATCTTCTGAACAATTAAATTGTACTACTTTATGAACTGATACTGTTAATTTAATGAATGTATGTCCTATATTCTGAACTGTACTGTGGCATCCTTAGCAACTACTGTTTATTGTTATTGTTACAGAGATCTCTGTCGGTTCCCTCGTTGGAACCACTACTGTTACTGACTGATGGCCATCATTTACTGTTCGGTCTTTTAAGACCTACTGTTTACTGTACTGTTATGCTAATGGATGTACCACATATGACTGTACCGACTGAACGACTGAAATACTGATTTAATGAGCTGCTTTCATTACTGTAAGGACATTCATTCTTAACCCCTTTACGCATTGTGTTATTCACTGGGCTTTAGCTCACTGCTCATATATATATGTAGGTGTCCAGGCACCAGACCGCAGCTAGAAGCATCGGGGTAAACTCCAGTTTTGTCAAGCCAACCTACATGCCTCAATGTGAGGTTCCAAGTCTGTCAAGTTACGGCTTAGGGGTGTTTTTAATTTCCCCGTCTGTCTCTGTATCTGTTTTGGTGCGACTGTATAGACTGTTACTATACTGTTTAATAGGGATTAGGTCCCTGAACTGAATGAATGTATATATGTACATACTGTTTTGTCTGATTGTATATATTTGGAAGAAGTCTTTTTGCATACAGACTGTCACAGTTCATTGGACACTGTTTATTTACTGTATTGGCTTCCGCTAGCCCCTGTACTCTGTTTTATTGTACTACTGTTAAGAAGACCTTCGGTAATCTCGAATTACTGGCCGATTACGGTGCCAAACTCATAGGGGCGGGTTTGGGTCGTGACAGAGCCTCTCGGTGATTGTCACTCTTATAAATCTAAATCCGAACACACAGAGAGAGAGAGAGAGAAAGAGCTAGGGTTTCAGAGAGCTAGGGTTAGTCGGAAATCACCTCTCTTTCGCCGGAAATCGCCTCTCAGAGGCGTGCGAGAGACAGAAATGAGTTATGTTTGGTTTATATACATAGCATACTAGTAATAACTTGAAATTGTGAGGGGCATTTAAGTCATTTTGTCCCTCAAACCCCAGTTGCGCGCTTAAGAGCATCTCCTATGGTGTGCCATTGGACCTGCTATTGCCAAATTATGGCAGCAGTGGATATAAAGACAGCTCCAATGACAACTTATAGCAGTTGCTATCTTTGGCAAATGCCCAAGCTTGTCTCAAATATGGCACAAGCTTAGGCAACTGCCAAAATTGCCAAGTCATCAGTTTCAACCAACCTCCTCATTCTCTCCCTCCCTTTTTCATCATCCTTTCCAAACACAGTTTCCAAATTAATTAACACAGCAATTTGAAGCAATTTCCAAATTCACACAGAAAATTAAATAAAATCAATTAACACAGAAAATTAATTAAAATCAATTTCATCAATTTCACCAATTAAAACCAATTTCATCAATTTCAGAATCTCCAGGAACCATTTTTATTTGTATACTAAATAATATCCCTCTGACTGGAACTAGTACCTTCCCCAAAATCAAACACCAAAAATGTTTTTAATAAGTTCCAAAACTGAACCCCAAAATTGCTTATATTTTCGGATGTGATTTTTTTTTTACTTTTAAAAAATTATAGTAAAAGAAAGAGAAAAAAAAACAGAGTAAAACTACGAAGTCCTAGTAAAAGAAATAAAAATTAGAGTAGTTGCTTATCTTTATTCCAGTGATGCAGGGAGTTGCTTATCTTTATTATAGTAGTCCTACGAAGTCGCAGTTGTTTTACTTCTTCATCATCCATTCCAGTGATGCAAGGAGTTGCTTATCTTTATTCCCCTTTGCTGGAATGCTTTCACCATGGGAGATGGAGGTGGGTTCGTGAGATTTGGAGACATGGATGATAAGGAGGTGGGTTTGTCAGATTGGATGTGGGTTTGTGAGATTTGGAGGCATGGATGATCGATTGAGGTGGGTTTGTGAGATTTGGAGGTGGGTTTGTGATTTGGAGACATGGATGATCGGTTGAGGTGGGTTTGTGAGATTTGGAGGGTGATCGATTGAGAGGGTGATCAGGGGTTGAGAGGGTGATCGATCGAAGATCTGGGTTATACGAGTGAAACAGAGCGAGAGAGAGAGAGAGATGAGTGAGATCAAGAGAGCAGTGGAGGGTAGAAGTGAGAGTGAGAGGGAGAGGGAGAGGGAGAGGAAGAGGAAGTGAGATGGAGAGGTTGGATCATTCTGGATGATGAATCTCATCCATTGGAAATCCTTTACGTGGACGATGTGATTTATCTTGGGAAGGCAAAAGAGCCGTTGTGCTCTTTTGGCCCGAAAAAATAAAAAATAAAAAAATCAATTATAAATTAACGGTCACGTTTTTTTTTTCTTCAGACGGTCATATTTTACATTTCTATAAATAGAAACCTCAATCTCAATTTCATTCACAGCACATATTTCTTTTATCTTCTCTTTATCTCAATTGTATTTGAGAATTCAAAATTATTTTCGAAAATATTTTGTTTTTAGTTTTTTCGGCCAATCATTATGGAAGGTTCATCAAAAACAAAAAGAGGAAAATCATTAACTACTAAAGATGTGGCAATTTGTAGAGCTTGGTGTCACATTACTGAAGATTCAATTGTTGGAAATTCACAATCACATGCTCATTTTTGGGGAAGAATTTTTGAAAATTATTGCTTGCTGCAAAATGATCACTCAAGAACACAAGTGTCTATCTCATCTCGATGGGGTGTAATCATGAAATGTTGCAACAAATTTCATGGGTGTCTAGCGCAAGTCGAAAATCTACATCTAAGTGGGGCGTCACAAATTAATATAGTAATATTTCATTTTCATTTATTATGTTAGTTTTTTTTATTTTATTTTGTCTTACATAAAAATTAACTGATTAATTAATTTAATATTTTATTGATATAGATGCTTCAAGCAAAACTGTTATACCATTAAGATGAAAACAAACATTTTCTTTTTAAACATTGTTGGCCAATCTTGCAAAACAATATCAGGTGGCAAGATGTAACTCCTACGAACACGGTGAAGTCAATAATACATACACCGTTTTCCCCTAATTCAACCCCCGATTTCTCTATAGATAACTGCATTTCTCTTGAAGATGACACCAGTCAAAGTGTTGGTAACAATCCAATTATCGGTGAGGGCAGTGTCTTTGCAATGGGTAAAAGGCCTATAGGTATGAAAGCTTTAAAAGAACTATTTTGGAGAAATCAAGTGGTTGAAGCTGAAATCCAAAAAAATGAGCATATAATTGAAGACATTTAACCAACACTTTGCTGAGAAGGAAAAGAAAAAAGATGAAAGAGAAAAAAAAAAGATTCAAGCACTGCAGGAAATGAAAGAACTTGAGATCATAAAAGAATAACATGAGATAATGACTACGGACATTTCTCTTTTGGACTCTCAGACAAAAGCATATTACACAATGCGAAAAAATAAGATTTTTGTCAAGTGGTCCTTAAATGTCAGCAGCCCAAATTACTATTTCCCAATGCCTCCTGATGAATAATTACGGAATAATTGGTGATTGTTTATTTTTTAATTTAGTAACGTCATTTAATTTTTAATTTGTAATTTTTAATTTGGATGGTTGTTGGTGGTTGGTTGTTGGTGGGTAATTGGTGATTGTTTATTTTTTATGTGTAGTTAAAAAAATTTATTAAATATGTAGTGATATATTTTTTGATGAGGTGAATTAATCAAATAATTTTTTTTTCCTCTAATTTTTATTATTTTTTTAAATTTTTTATATTTGTCTAGTTGGGAATAATATAAATATATAATTTTTGTAACAAATAGGTAAAAAAATGTCACAAAAGACAAAAACTAACTAAAAATAAAATCACAAAAAATTTATATCAAAACAATACCTACAAATTTTGAAAGAAAGTTGATTGAAATTTGCCAAAAATAACAAATAACCAATAGAATACCATTGTTATTGACAAAATACCACTATTTATTATCAAATTATAACAATAACATTAACAATAACAAAATAGCAACAGCTATTAGAGGTGCTCTAAGTTGAATAAAAAAGCACCGCCTCCCTACCTTATTGATTTAATTTAAGCTAAAAATTAATCGCATAAAAATCACTTAATTTAAGTTAAAAAATAAGCTGTATTTAAGATCTAACAATCACCCCCGTCGTTCCAAATAGCGAAACACTGCAAACTAACAAGAAGTCAAAATACAAGCTCGACTCGAACTTCCCACAAACACAACACAACACAACAGACAGAGAGAGGGAGAGAGAGTGAATGATTTCCGACGGAATCGAAGACGAAGAGAAATGGCTGGCGGCAGCGATCGCCGGCCTTCAACAGAACGCCTTCTACATGCATCGCGCTCTGGTAACCCTTGAAATATGTGTAGCTAATGTCCATTCATGAACCCTAATTTTGATCGATTCGTTTCAGGACTCGAACAATCTCAGAGACGCCCTCAAGTACTCAGCTCAGATGCTCTCCGAGCTTCGCACTTCTCGCCTTTCCCCTCACAAATACTACGAGCTCTGTAACCATCTTTCTTTGATCCACAACTTTGATCTTATGTTTTGTGTTCAATGCCGATTTCGCAATCAAATGTATCGGTTTCTAATTGATTTTGTGTGTGTTCGATTCGATATTTGGTAGACATGCGAGCGTTTGATGAATTGAGAAAGCTCGAGATGTTTTTCAAGGAGGAGGCTCGTCGAGGTTGCTCGATTATTGATCTGTATGAGCTTGTGCAGCACGCCGGTAACATCTTGCCCAGACTGTAAGTGAGAATTGCATTTGTTTATTTATTTATTGCTGGCTTGTTGAATTGCTGATGTGTGTGTTTGTTGTCGTCAATTGTATTATGAATTACACATTTGAATGATATTATTGCCAAAATTATTTTATGTTTTAAAGAGTAAAGCGGTGTGGGACAACTGCATCTATGTAAGCTTTTCAAAAATTTCACTCTTGTTTTATTTTTTAGGAAAATGAAGAAAAGTAACTTTTTTTTTTCCCAGTTTGTTTGACATCAAAGTAGTGGAAGTTGCAAGAAAGATAGTTTTATTGTACAACTCATATCAGCATAGTAACTAATCTTTTAGTTTCTTGTAAAAAACACAAGAATAGTTTCTTGTAAAAAACACAAGAAAAGTTTAAATTTGTTCATAAAAGTGGTTACTTATGATTACAATTCCTAATTTCTCTCTTCCCTTGCAAAATTTTCATTCTAATCAAATGCATACTAGAAAATATATTTATTTTCCATTTATTTTCTTTCTATCACTTTCACTTGCCGTCAATTGTTTCTTTCTAATCAAACAGACCCTTAGGCAGTGGCCCGTCCAAATTTTAGTTTACATCATATTTAGATATATTTCATCTTAAATTATTTTCTGCACCAAAACATCTGTGCTTTTTGTTTCTTAAGTATTTCTCTGCTTTGTTATTTCTCAGGTATCTACTTTGTACAGTGGGATCTGTGTACATCAAGTCTAAGGAAGCTCCTGCAAAGGATATTCTTAAAGATCTTGTGGAAATGTGCCGTGGTATACAACATCCTGTACGTGGGCTTTTCCTGAGGAGTTATCTTTCTCAAATCAGTAGGGATAAATTGCCAGATATTGGTTCGGAGTATGAAGGGTAAGGAAATCAATTGTTCATTTTTTCTGCTTTATAACAAAATTTAGGTCGAAGAATTTTTAAATGTTGGGTTTGAATGGATTAAAAAATCTTGTGGTTTGAGAACATGGAAATAGGCTTTCTCCTTCACCTGGGTGAGGTCATGTGCCAGGATGACCTTTGTCTGGATCACTGCTAAATTGTTGGGAATCAGATGTTTTCCAGCATAGTTGAAATGGATTGACAAGACATTTTAAACTTTACTGCTTTCGATCTGCAAAATTAAGAAACCGATTGTTGTATTATCGATTGTACTTGATGGCATTTTTGCATTCATATGGTGTTGACAATTGACACCAATTATGTACCTTATTGGCAAGGACTTAGGTGAGGAGAGAAAATGTGTCATATTGTGATTCAATTAAATCTCAGGATGGAAAGAAATGGGTAATCATATGCTCATGATGATTTAGTACCATGATTCTTTTCCTACCTTTTGTTATTCCTCATAAATCGTATGTTTCTTTAGCTCATAATAAAAAATTGTGTTTTGTGTTCTTAATCTAGAAGAGTTTACTGGGTAGGAAGTGACCTGATATGTGAGAATTTTTCTTGACTTATGTAGGGATGCTGACACTGTCATGGATGCTGTAGAGTTTGTACTTCAAAACTTCACAGAAATGAACAAACTTTGGGTGCGGATGCAATATCAGGTTGGTTGAACTATTTGTAGGTCGTGTTACCTGCTTAGAACTGCATGAAGTTCGAAAAAAAAAGAAGAAAAAGACATGCATGGAACCTTTTGAAAAGAAGGAAGAATTGATTAGACTAAGAAGCACGGACACTTCTAAAAAATTAATGTCTCGTGTCGGACACCGACTTGACATGACACTCATCGAACACTTCGTAATACTTGGAAACACATGAAACACATTACAAGTATGAATAAAATAACTTGGAATCCAATGATAAAACTAAACCAATGTAAATTTACACCTATTCTTCTCCTTTAGACTTAAAAAATTATTTTCTTTGACTTAAATATTCGTAGATATATCATGTAATAATTATTTATTTTTATACGTGATGTATAATAAATATGTTTTGTGTCCTACATATTTAAAAAATTTGCGTGTCGGCCTGTCCGTGTCATGTCACGTGTTTGTGTTCGTGCTTAGACACGTATGTGGCCACGATGCTTGCATGTCATGAAGGTAAAAAATAAACCATGAAGGCATGATTTGTGGTCATGCAGGTGTTATAGTGGTTGTCAAACATTCATACTCTTTGCTGATCTTGAGTTGAGGCTTGCAATCGGGCTTTCTGGTCTGCAGGGACCTTCTCGAGAAAAGGAGAGACGGGAAAAAGAAAGGAGCGAGCTTCGTGATCTTGTAATATCAGTAACCTGAATTTGGTTAATGTTTCTTCAAATCAGCAATAGAAGTGTATTTATGCGCTTACAGAAGTTATTTTTTTTAATCCCTTCATTTCGTTAGGTTGGGAAGAACTTGCATGTCCTCAGTCAGGTTGAAGGTGTTGACCTCGATATGTATAGAGATACTGTTCTTCCCAGAGTCTTGGAGCAGGTTCATTCTGTTTATGTCTCATTCATTTTGTCTTTTGGGTGAGAGGTGTAAAATATGTTGACTTTGACTTGTATTTATCTTCTGATGGAATTTGCATCTCATTTACTTTTGGCAGGTTGTCAATTGTAAAGATGACCTTGCTCAATACTATTTGATGGATTGTATAATTCAAGTCTTTCCTGATGAGTATCATTTGCAGACTCTTGAGACATTGTTGGGTGCTTGCCCACTGCTTCAGGTGGGTTTTGAATTTTCTTTTTTGCACTACTATAAATATAATGCTGCCATTACTAGATGTGTTCCGGTAGGATATATTTCTTTATTTTTAATTTTTTTAATTATTTAATTATTCAATTTTTATAATTTGCCTGCCATTCTTTGCTTTACAGTAGGGGATTGTCGTGTTTAGAACTTTTAAACATTCTTAGCATTTTTGAACGGTGATTTGATTGTCTGATGTGGCTACAGAATTTATGTACTTCACAAAGTGTCCATCTGATGCATTGTGTACATTTTTAAGCCATGAAGATACATATTTAAGATGGTTTTTTTCATGCTTACAAAAGTTTTTTACTAAAGTCAATATGCTGTCAATATATATAGTTGTTCAGTGTAGTTTGCTTTTGTCCTTCAAGCAGAATCTGTTATGGTGTATGGTTTCTTTACTAAGTATGGCTGCAAATGAACCAAGCCGTTGATAAATAGCTTGGGTTTGGCTCGTTTGCAGATCATTCAAACTCGTTTGGTAGTGCCAACGAGCTTGAGCTTGAAATTTGAGCTCAGTGATTAAACAAGCCCGAGCGCAATTGATGGCAAGCTCAGCTGATTAGCTATGCTACATGGATTATTCAAAATAAATTGAATTTCCCATTAAATCTACGCTTAGTAAGCATATCCATCAATTTAACATTGTCATTATAAGTATTTTATTTTGTTATATAATTGTATTTAACATTGTCATTATAAGTATTTTTTTGTTGCATAATTGCTTTAAAATGTGTAAAGTGTCTTTTTGACCCTCCATGTTACATAAAACACCATTTTGTTCCATAAAATAAATAAAAAATATATAATAAAATGATATATATATATATATATATATTTATGCTTGAGTTTGCATATCATTCAAATATAAGTTTGATGGGCTCGACCCCTAGACCCGCACCCACACACATGAATTCGGATCCTCTAGAGTGATTTTTTGTAGAGTGGTCTTAGAGTGTTTTTTTGAATGGTTGAGATTTAATAGTGCAAAAGTTGAGGGTACAATAGTACTGATAATCAATTTAAAAAAAATCTCAGCCATTCAAAAAATCACTCTGTGAAAATCACTTTAGAGGATCTAGACTCCACACACATACCCATACCCGTCCGTGAGTTCATCTAACTTAGCTGATTACTATATGTATTAAATTAATAATATACAAAGAGTAAAGCCTCACCCTCAATTCTAGTTATTCGTAGACAAAATAGCACATTTTTCTATTTGATATATATTAGTGAAAATGTATTATGTTGAGTAAATCTTAATTCTTGTTAGTCACCGCAAGATAGCACATCTTTCTATGATATATAAAAGTGATATATGTATAATATATCATGTTTGAGGAATCAAGAAAGTAAAGATACATGTGTGTGTATGCCAGAGAGAGAACCAAAAACATGGGTTCAGGAGGTTCTTCTATGTAGGATCGCCTATTCAGCTTAGTGTACTGTATGACTTTGCGTTGGCCAAACAAGGGTTGGATAAGATAAAAATGCTCAAACTCGTCCAAGACCAATGTATAACATTCAAACATTAGCTAAAAAGGTTTATTTATCCCGAAAAAAAAAAAATTAGCTAAAAAGGTCTCCTATGATGGGTTTTCAATTTCATTGGTGAAGATTTGGTTGTTTTCAGAATTTAAACTACAAATAGTCTCAGAATTGTGTTAGTGTGTGTAAATGGAGTGTAGGTGCACTGAATCTTTGTTCTTTCCTCTTACCTTTTGTATGCCTCAGCCCTCTGTTGATATCAAGACGGTGCTTTCACGATTAATGGAAAGGCTTTCAAATTATGCTGCGTCAAGTGCAGAAGTGAGTATTCATGTGCTATTTTCCTCGCCTAAGATTCCATAATATGGCATTGATGATGATTTTATGCTGCAGGTTTTACCCGAATTCTTGCAAGTAGAGGCTTTTGCAAAACTGAACAATGCCATAGGGAAGGTAAATCTCATGTTCCCACCTTAGAAGAATCCAAGGATAAGATCTTGGCTATTAAGATATTGAAGTTGCATCCAATGGAACTTCTGTTTTTTAGTTGTGATGTATACCTTCAATTAGAGAATGATTGAATTTCTCCTCCCTCCCTCCCTCCCTCCCTCTCTCTCTCTGCATTCTTGTGCACACATATTCCTCTCCTTTTTGTCTAACCAGGCAGTGGAGAGAAAAAAGCTACTTGATTTGGCTGTTAGTCTTTGTAAAGGTGGACTGGAAAACTGGACACCACTTCTGTTGGTGAAAATGATTACATCAAATCATCCTAGCCTTTGTGCTGGTGTTCATGTTTCTTGGAATTGTTTACTTTCCAAGCACTTTCGTAGCGCTTGTTGTCCCCTTTCATAGGAGTATTGTAACATTTACTTTGTATGTACTTTAATTTCTGCACTTTTTATCTTGGAGATTAGGAGATCTGGAGCTCTCTCTTCAAGCAAATTCAATGCCTTTATGTTGATGCAGGTGATTGAAGCACAGGTTGACATGCCTATTGCTGGAGCTGTGACTTTATATTCATCTCTTCTTACATTTACTCTTCATGTTCACCCTGATCGGCTTGATTATGTGGATCAAATATTGGTAAGTTTCTTTCTCAACTGAACTCGACCAAGCTTGAAAATGATCTAGAAGGACAGATTTATGATTAATATCTCTTAGCTACAAATCTTTCTAGTTTATTAAGTATGACAAATCTGGGTATGACAATGTGCTGGTGCAGTATATAGAATTTTGTAGTGTTAGGCATGAAAATAACTGAATTTTGGCTGCCAATTTATATTGATATATTAGAAAACAGCATTATAATAATGGCCATGAATCTCTAACGTATTGCCGAATTAAGCTTACTTTTTGAAAAATTTACGCATGTTTAATACATTGGTTACTTTTCTATCTCTCTATTATATGTTATATTTCAGTCATTATTCTTTTACATATGGCAAGAGAGTTTTGGTAAATGAAACATGAACCTCACTACTGCATTACTTCTAGGCATGAGTCTTGACTTGACTCGATACAAAGTTGCTGTGGAAGTTGTGCTTTTCATGTTTTAAAACTGTGCTTAGGTTTATAGTGAAATTAGGCAGCTTATGTTTTGCCATTAACAAAGTGGCCCTAAACAAAAAAAGTATCGTTTTCTGAGAAGGTTATGATTGAATTTGGCCTAGATGGGTTCCATCGGTTTGTTTTATGTGACTGACTATGGAACATGTTGTATGAGTCGTACCTATCCTGTTTGAATGTTTTACGATAGAGTAGGCAGTGATTAAATTTGTTTTCGTCTTCTTCAGGGAGCATGTGTTAAGAAACTTTCTGGGAAAGGAAAGCTGGATGATAGCAAAGCAACAAAACAGATTGTTGCACTTCTAAGTGCTCCCTTGGAGAAATATAATGATATTGAGACTGTCCTGAAGCTTTCTAACTATCCCTGTGCCATGGAGCACCTTGACAATGGAACAAACAAAGTCATGGCTGGTGTTATCATTGAAAGTATCATGAAAAACCGGACACGTATTTCTACTGCTGACAAGGTATGTTTTATTCACAATTTATTCTGTTCTCTGAAATGTGCTTCTTATTAATGTATAATGCTTGGTCTTTATAGGTCGAGGCATTGTTTGAATTAATTAAAGGCCTTATCAAAGATTTGGATGTGGATCTTCATGATGAGGTGATCTGAATTTCTGCTACGTATGCTTAATATTAACTCTTGTTGGTTACAATTTTATGGCAATACTTGGCATGTTTCTTCTACTTTTAGTCACTTCATTTTTATTATTTATTTATTTTATTTTATTTTACAATGGTTTCTGAAAATGAGCCTATTTATTGATAATTTTTCTCCTTTAAAAGTGCACTTCGTTCATTTTCAGGTTGACGAGGAGGATTTCAAGGAGGAGCAGAATTCTGTTGCGCGTCTTATTCAGATGCTGTATAATGATGATCCAGAAGAGATGTTAAAGGTTGTAATAATTGTTTAAAAGGTTTTTGTGCATGGTGGCTGTTCATATAAATGGTTGGATTCCAATTTATGTTGGACAATAATATTACACATTTTTGCTATTTACCCAAAAAAAGAGAAAAAGAAAAAAAAAAAAAAAAGAAAAAAGAAAAAAACCCCATATCTTTGTTTGATGTGTTTCCTTCTCTCCCATGAAAGTTACTTCAATTATGCACATGCACATATATTTGCCTTACATTCTGTGATGTATGATTTTGCTGTGGAGAATCATTGGTCATGGTCCATGGAAGGCAATCATTTCTTGAACTTAAGCATGGATATTGTTTATTATTCAAACTTGAATGAAAGTAGGGAGTTGAATGGCTTATTATGCTAGACATGACTGCGGTTATTCTTCCTTTACCTAGTACTTTTATTCAACAAGTGTTTTGGGGCTAGAGGGATTAGTGAAGAGCTGCTGTGAGCATGGATGTTTTATTCGCCAGATCTCTTTCTCTCTCTCTCTCTCTCTTCTCTGACATTAGAATTTTTCTATGCTTATTTTTTTTGTCAAATGTGGGTAGTAACAATGCACACAAGATCTTAGTTTCTGTTTGTGACAGTTTACTTCCTTACTCTACCTATGAATTTGTTTATGATCCCAGAACCATTTGTTTCTTTGTCTTTTTTAATGATGTTGACCGTAACCTATTTGTTGCATGTCAGATCGTATGTACTGTGAGGAAGCATATCCTGGCTGGAGGACATAAACGGCTTCCCTTTACTGTTCCCCCCCTTATTTTCAATGCTCTTAAGGTTTGATTCTACCATTCAGCTTTGTGATGTTTTGCCATATCCTAAGAAGTTCTAAATTCTAGTGGCCAGTTTATTTCAGGATATGTATGGGGACATTCTAGGATGTTGAAATCATGATGGAGCATGTAAAGTCACTAACAATTGTACTAATCTTCTTTTTGTAGCAAGGGGAAACTATCAATCTGATTAAAAAAGGCTAACAGTATGATGGATGACGGCATATGATGCTAGAATAGCTTTGTATCAGAGGATGCAAATGCACACGTGTCATACTTTTCTGTTTGTATTGGATAGCACAGATTCGTGACATATATACTGAAAATATTTTGGACCTTTAAGTTAATATTAAGCTCAATTAGCTACAAGTATCCAACTATGATGGCTGAGATATAAAATTTTTCCATTTTAATCGTCCTTAGGCTGCAACCTACATATGATTGATGAATGAGTCTTTAAAAAAATATATGATTCATGAATGTGACTACAGTTGGATGAAATATTTCTAAATTTGAAATATAGTGGGTTAGTTGTTGAAATATTCAACAGAAATGATTTCACTAATGCAATACTAAGGCTATGTTTGGTAGAGTTTTTGAAATTTAATTCTGTCCTTCAGTTTGAGTGTATTGTTTGGTTATAGGTTTAAAAAATTAATTCTACACCCACTTTTCAAAACATTTTTCAAAACATTCATTTTTCAATATTATATGTCATATCACTCAATTCAAACTCTTTTTAAAACTCATAACCAAACAAATTTTTTACACTCAAATCATAATTCCAAAACTCACAAACTCAAAATACAACTCTATTCGCAAACCATAATTCTAAAATTCTACCAAACACAACCTAAATCTTTAGCAAGAGGCAACAATTGATATGTTTATCTTATTCTTGGTATCTGGCAGATTAGGTTTGATAAATTATGCTTGAGTTCTAACCCAAAATGGTTTATCTTTTGGGAAAAAAGGTGGACAAAATCAACTTTAAAAAGATTATGGAATTCTTAGATTATGAATCATACATCCACAAATTACAATTTGCAACCTAGGAAGCACAAACACAGACACGGACACGGACAAGGGCACGAGACACCGGACACTAGACACGGTGATTCAAAAAAAAAAACATGACCTGGCATGATACAAAATATATATATATATTTGTATATTCTATCCATAAATAATCCAAATTAATGAAAACTAAAACTAATTTAACAAAGAAAGCAAACTAAATTTAAACAACTTAGAGACTAGACTAGACTAGATTTGTGTTGCGTTAGGGTCTAGGATGGTTAGATCTATGTTGTGTTGTCGATGGTTTGATATGAATTCTATATATTTTTAAAACAAATTCAATCCTCATGTTTCCAAACATTAATAATATGACTCCCATAATTGACTTCGAAAAATTAAATAACACCTGGCCATGTACCATGTGTCTGACACGACCACAACACCTATTTTGAAGTGTCAGTATTTCATAGATTGCAAGTGACATCTTTATATGTTGAATGTGTAAATGATGATGAGAAGAAGAAGTTTCAGAAGTAACGAGAGAGAAAGCTGCTGTTTATTCTTTTATTCAAAAGCATAGGGTTTCCCCCTTACACATAACTATTTATACTAATAAGAAGAATACATAAAGACCAAACTACCCCTAACACTTAATATGCCCTCTCAAGTTGGTGTAAAGATGTCTCTCGTGCCCAACTTGCAACAAATAGGGTGAAAGACTTTACTATTAAGACCATCCTTAGTAAAAACATCTGCTAGTTGATCTTCAGATTTAAACAAAAGGCATACATATCACACCCTTATTCAACTTCTCCTTGATGAAATGTTTGTCAATCTCAATATGCTTAGTCCGGCTATGTTGAACAGGATTGTGTGCAATACTAATAGCAGCCTCGTTGTTACAATACAAGGTCATGGGATCACTCCAATCGAGCCCTATATCACTTAACAAAGATTGAAGCCACATTAGTTCACATGTTCCATGTGCCATAGCCTTGTATTTAGTTTCAGCACTAGATCTGGAAATTACCGCTTGTTTCTTATTACGCCATGTGACTAGATTTCCCCCTACAAAAGCACAGTAACCGGAGGTAGAGCGTTTGTCATCTATAGAGCCTGCCCAATCTGCATTTATGAATGTTTCCAACCTCAAGTGACCATGATTAGAGAACAAAATTCCTTTTCCAGGGACAGATTTAAGGTATCTCAAAATGCGATAGACTGCATCCAAATGAGTTGTACGAGGATCATGCATAAATTGACTCACTATTCCAACTACATAAGCAATATCTGGACGAGTATGAGAAAGATATATCAGTCTTCCCACAAGTCTTTGGTACCTTTTCTTTTTCACAAGCTCACCAACCCCACTACAAAGACGATGATTAGTCTCAATCAGTGAATCAGTTGGTCTGCAGCCCAACTTGCCCGTTTCCTTAAGAAGATCTAGAATGTACTTCCTTTGAGAATTAAAGATACCTTTATCAGATCTAGCAACTTCAATCCCAAGAAAGTATCTTAATGGACCAAGATCTTTTATCTCAAACTCCTTGGCTAACTGCATCTTAAGATGAGTCACCTCCTCCTCATCATTATCTGTCACAACTATGTCATCCACATATACAATAAGCACTGTTACCTTATGTACATTGCGTTTGACAAGCAAGGTGTGATCTGCATTGCTTTGTTGATACCCAAATCCCAGCATGGCCTTTAGGAATCTACCAAACCAGGTTCTAGGAGATTGTTTCAAACTGTACAAAGCCTTCTTCAATCTACAAATCTTTCTAACTGTAGACTGAGATGAGAATCCCGGAGGTACATCCATATATACCTCCTCCTCCAAATCCCAATGAAGAAAAACATTCTTCACATCTAGTTGCTGTAGAGGCCATCTTAAATTAGCAGCACACGATAGAATAGCTCGAATGAAATTCATCTTTGTTACCGGGGCAAATGTTTCTTGATAATCTATTTCATATGTTTGGGTAAATCCCTTGGCCACTAGTCTCGCTTTGTACCGTTCAATCGTCTCACCTGCATTGCGCTTAATGGTGACCACCCACTTACATCTGACTGGTTTTTTTCTATTAGGAAGAGACACCAACTCCCATGTATTATTTTTACTCAAAGCTTGCATCTCTTCTACCATAGCTACCTTCCACTTGGGATCATTGATGGCTTCTTTCCAACCTTGCAGAATACGCACAGAAGAAAGAGTCGAAATAAAAGCACGATAAGGAGAAGACAACGAATCATATGACACGAATTTAGAAATGGGGTGTTGAGCACAGGCTCTAACCCCCTTTCTAAGAGCAATAGGAAGACTCAAATCATTAGTAACAGGACTATCAACAACAGGTGAAGAAATAGGTTGAGGATCATTACCTAGAGAGTCCGTGGAAACTGGGTGTGGAACTAGCATAGGAGATGATGATTGACTTGGTGGCACAAGAGAAGCCTACTCTTTCTGACGCCGTGAATAAGTCTTAAGATCAGCTCTATCCAAACGACCACCGACATCTAACTCCTCATCAATAGAACTGCTAGGCTCCCCCTCACCACAAATAACAACCCGCTAATTAGGAAAGAAAAAAGACAACTCATGCTGATATGATGCTGGCTCATCCGCAATCTCAGTGATACCACTCTCCCCCGGAGGAGATGGCGAAGGATTAGGAAAAAAGGACTCAAATTCACAGAAGGTGACATCCATACTAACATACAGCTTATGAGTGTGAGGGTTATAGCATTTGTAGTCCTTTTGAGTAGCAGAATAACCAAGAAAGACACACCGGACAGCCTTAGGATCAACCTTCCCATGAGTACGAGGTTGAAGATGAACAAAATAGACATTACTAAAAACCCGAAGCGGAAGGGAAGAAGTAGGATAAGTCACAGGAAGAAGCTCGAGAGGAATTTGGAAGTGGAGGACACTAGAGAGCATCCGGTTAATAAGGTAAGTTGTGGTAAGAACAACATCCCTTCAAAAAGACTTAGGAACGTTTATGGTAAACAAAAGAGAGCGAGCAACCTCAAGGAAATGACTATTCTTGTGTTCAGCAACTCCATTCTGTTCAGGAGTGCCAACACAACTAGTCTGATAAAGAATGTCATGCTCCTCGAGATATGCCCTGAAAGTTCTATTAACATATTCAGTCCCATTATCACTCTTAAGAATTTTGATAGTAGCATTGAAGAGATTGGATACCATTTTATGAAAACTTTTGAAGCACGAGAAGATTTCATTTTTTGTACAAAGTAAATAAATCCAAGTCACACTAGAATAACAATCAATAAATGTGACAAACCACCGATAACCAGAGGTAGAAATCACATGGGAAGGACCCCACACATTGGTATTTATAAACATAAAGGGAAAAGTACTTTTATTAATTGAAGGATAACAAGTACATTTATGCTTAGCAAGTTCACAAGCGTCACAAACAAAGTTATTCTTAGGACAATTTCGAACTAATAAAGGAAAAAGTTTCTCTAAAATACTAAAGGAATGATGCCCCAAACGGCGATGCCACTGATGAAGAAGACGAAGAGAGGAGCTAAAAGTGCATTGAAGAGCCTAAGAGGACAGAGGTGAAGGCAGGAATGGCATCCAGAAAGTACAGTCCACTTTGTGCTCTACTACTGCCAATCATTTTCCCCGCAGCCAGTTCCTGAAAGACACAATGAGTCGAAAAAAAAGTTACAGAGTAATTGAAAGCAGTAGTAAGGCTACTAACAGAAAGAAAGTAAGTTGAAAAATTAGGAACTTGAAGAACAGATGAAAAGAGGTGCAATGAACAGAGCCCTTGCCAGAGATAGAAGATAAAGTGCCACCATCCACTCTAACCTTATCTCGCCCAGAACTAGGTGAATAAAAATGAAAAAACCTAGAAGTACCCGTTATGTGATCAGTAGCACCAGAATCAATGCTCCAAGGAGACGATGAAGAGGTACTAAGTGCACTAGCAGAAATACTTGTGTGGGCAAAGTTGGAAGAGGCAGAAGAGGAAGGAGCTAAGGTAGATGAAGAATCAACGCGAGCCATCAAACGTCTGAGAGTGTGAAGCTCATCATGGGAAATAGAACCAGCATCATCTGAGGAACTGGCAGTAGTCTCAGAAACATGTGCTTGAGGGCGAACACCACAACCACGGCCATGGCCATGGCCACGGCCTTGAGTAGGCCGGCTATGCAACTTCCAACAATGTTCTTTATCATGTCGATCTTTCCCACAATAATCACACTTCAACTGGTCCCGATCAACCAATGGACCCTTACCACCACCTTGAGGCTGACAAGGCGGAATATCACGTGACTTGGGGGCGACAACCATTGCTGACCGATCCTGAATAGGGGCATGCACCATAGCACTACAACGACTCTCCTCCTGATGAACCAGTGCATAAACCTCACGCAATGTAAGAAACGGAGAGCGACCAAACACCTGAACCCGTATCTGATCATACTCCAAATTCAAGCCGGCAAGAAAGTCATACATCCGTTCCTTCTCCACAGCCTGTTGGAACATAGTGGCATCTGTGGAACAAACTGGCTGGAAACTCTGGTAGTAATCGAGCTCTTGCCATAAACCACTCAACTCAGCATAGTAGACTGCCAGAGAGCGATCCTTCTAATCCAAGCCCTTAATCTTCTTTCGCAATTCATAGGCCTGTGCATCATTACCCTGTTGAGAATACATCTGAGATGCAGCTATCCAGATCTTGTGAGCAGTATCCATCAAGAGAAAAGTTCGACTAATGGTAGGCTCCATAGAATTGATGAGCCAGGTCATAACTAAAGCATTTTTAGAAATCCATTGAGCAGATAAAGTACTATCCGCAATAGGTTGCTGGGTACTACCAGTAATATAGCTAGTCAACCGCGGGCGGCAATGGCAAGACTGCAGGAGCGGGACCAAATCAAGTAATTGGTACCATTAAGCTTGACTGGACTAATTTGGAGAGATGGATTATTACCAAGAGTCATACCACGACTCAGTCCACTCTCCTCCTTGCCCTTACCCTCGTTGGTAGCCATGAGATAAGAGAAAAAGGGTGCAGAACCACAAGCAGGAAATCAAACAAAGCCATAAAACACTGAACTAGCATAGCAACTCACCTTCGAAGGCTAAAACAGGGCAAGATTATCTCAGAACACAGCAAATAGATCACCTACAGGGCCAAAAACTGAAGCAAACCATCCAAAACGCAAAAAAAAGCCATAGTAGGGCCAAAATACCTCCAACCAGGGCAACAAACCCCTTAAGAGGTCCAGTCGGCTCCCACAGGAGTGAGGGAAAGGGAGAAAACCAAGCAAAAGAGGTCCAAACAGGAGCTTTAAAAAAATCATCCAATTTTGACGAAAAATCAAAAAAACTGGAAAAAGTAATCAATAATTACCAAAACATCATAACGAGATTACAGGAAGAAAACCCATTAAATTTCGAGCATACTGCTATTTTATTTTTTTATTTTTTTTTGGGGCTTGCTGTATACGTACATTCCTATCTACAAGAATAAGAAGAGATGAATGAGAGGAACAATCTTCAAGGAGAAAGATATTGCTTTGATATCATGTTGAATGTGTAGATGATGATGAGAAGAAGAAGAAGTTTCAGAAGTAACGAGAGAGAAAGCTGTTGTTTATTCTTTTATTCAAAAGCATAGGGTTTCCCCCTTACACATAACTATTTATACTAATAAGAATAATACATAAAGACCAAACTACCTGTTAAAATCCACCTACTCTCTTGACAATATGCTTAAAATTGCCAATAAGGCAAAAATATAAATGCAAGTACGGAATTTTTCTTCTTTTGGATGAAAAAACAATCAACATTGTTTCTACTTGAGAAAGCTAATTGTTTCTTTTCTAGTTTTCCGGTAATCTACATAAAGACCAAACTACCGCTAACACTTAACATTATATCTTGACAATATGCTTAAAATTGCCAATAAGGCAAAAATATAAATGCAAGTACGGAATTTTTCTTCTTTTGGATGAAAAAACAATCAACATTGTTTCTACTTGAGAAAGCTAATTGTTTCTTTTCTAGTTTTCCGGTAATCCCGGGAGAGTTATACAAACTGACAAACACTATCAAGCTATAAACTAATGAATAGTGGCACCATGCATTGTTTATGTATTTTATAAGATGACTGTCATTCTGTAAACAATTCTGACTCTATGTTTTCTGCCATGTACAGTTGGTTAGACGACTGCAAGGCCAGGAAGAAAATGCTGCTGGAAAAGAGGGAGTGGCTACACCAAAGAAAATTTTTCAGCTTTTGAATCAGGTAACTTCTTTTTCAATGGGGCTTGTATCCGCATTTGTCATGTAAGAGGTATTGCTTTTACACTTGAGATTGACTGTTATCATAATCTTCAAGAATGTTGATTCTTTTTTCTTCACACAATTCTATTCAAAATTTTACTTGGTTTGCTTTTCAACAATGAACTCTTTAATGCTTTCCTGTCACATTTGCCTACTTGGATGTCTTTAGCTTGATTGTGGTATCACTCTGTATTTTCTTTGGGTGTTTACTGTTTAGCATGCCGTTGAGCTTGGATTAAGTGGTGTTCCAGAGTATATGGAGTGTGGACTTAAAATATAGACCATGTTTGCCAAAATTTTCTTATAGCTCATTGTTTTTCATTTCTTTTCTCCTGTCTTCTCTTTTACGACTCCTATGTCTTGATCATTCTTTTGCATGGAACATCAATCCCAATGTCTTACCTATCTGTTGGTTTCTTCTGCATTTTGTGTCTGGTATTTACTTATCCATCTTCGTATATTTGTCAAATTAGTTTGTTTTCTGTTTCAGACAATTGAAGCTTTGGCAATTGTTCCAGTACCTGAACTGTCATTAAGGTTATACTTGGAATGTGCTGAGGTACTAGAAAATCTTGACCCCGGAACAATTTTGAGGACTGAATGGCAATATCAAGTTCTTGCTTACCTGCATTTGACTTTGTTTTCTTGAATCTCAGGCTGCAAATGACTCTGATCTAGAGCCTGTTGCATATGAATTTTTCACCCAAGCGTATATATTATATGAAGAAGAAATTTCGGTAACTTTTTTTTTTTTTTTGCCTTTATATTTTCTTTTTAAGATACATAGAATTAATTATTCTTCCCACTTGCCTGGCTATGACTGTTGTGATAGGATTCCAGAGCACAGGTGACTGCAATACATCTGATAATAGGGACACTTCAGAGGATGCATGTCTTTGGTGTTGAGAATAGGGATACTTTAACCCACAAGGCAACAGGGGTAATACTAGTATATAGTACATTATATGTATCACATTTGAGCCTTGTTTAGTCAAATATCTGATTTGAAGCTTTCCCTTTTGAGCAGTATTCAGCAAAGCTGTTGAAGAAGCCTGATCAGTGCAGAGCTGTTTATGCGTGTTCACATCTCTTTTGGGTTGATGATAACGATAACATCAAGGATGGGGAGAGGTACTTGACCACACATTTTTGCATTCATTATAAGTGTACCTGCATATGTTCATAGCTATGTGCTAAGAAACTTGGACACTTCAAAGGATGTGCATGTCCATGTCCTACATATGTCAAACACCAATACTCATCACACACTTACCACCATATGTTGGACACACATCCAAACATGTCATTATTTTTTTAAATTTTTTAGGCCCAGACATGTTTCAGGCACTTAGGAGACACATGAAACACGTTATAAGTTTGAAAAAAATAATTCTGTGGATACAATGATAATAGAAAACCAATGTAAATTTATATCTTTTTTTGATAAGTAGAAGCAAATTTTATTAGAAGAAAAGCATCGAGATGATGCTAAGGAATACACCCACCACCAAACAACACCTATTCCTAGACAGATAAAGAATCTATAACATCCACTAAAGAAAATAAAATCTGGAACCGATCTCCTTAAAACCTAACTACACAAAACCACTAAGAATTTATTCTTCAAAAGAGGCACAAGAACCTCCACCCCTTGAAAAATTCACCGGTTATACTCCAACCAAATCAGCCACATTAGGCACGAAGGTGCAAGATCCCTAGCCTTCTGACAGCTTTTCCCAATCTTAACCCCTCTCTAGCTGCGAAGAACATCCTCCGCAAGCCCCTGCTGCACCCAGACGATACCAAACACTGAAAAAATAAACCCCCAAAGCTGATACACCACAGGGCAATGAAGTAATAGATGGGAAGTAGATTCCATTTCCCACAACAAATATGGCACCAATTCACCAAAATTTGCCTACACTGAATGAGATTATCCATTGTCAAAATCCGGTCTAGCTCCACTGTCCACACAAAGAACGCCACCATGGACGGAACTTCAGCGATCCACACTTTGCCACAGGAAAGAAATATGCCCTCCATCCACCATAGCTCTATAAAAAAACGAAACTGAAAAAATCCCTTTAGCACCCTTACACTGCCACACCATCCAATCCTCCTCCCCTGCCACACGAACACTATACAAAAGAGCCAACAGATCCACTAATTGTCCAACCTCCCAGCCAAGAACTGCCGCCAAATTCGCACATCCCAAACCAATTTCCCATCATCCCTCACCAAATAAGCTGGCACTACAACATCCCTATCCACTACAATTTGAAAAATCAACAGGAACAAAGATGCCAAAGTTTGATCACCACACCACACTACACCACCTATCCGTCTAGAACCACACCAGCTTCCCCCTCCTCATTTGAACGCTAACTCACCTCATAAACTCCCCCTTTCCAAACAGGATACCTTTCCATAACTTAACTGCCACCACCCAACTCCAAAACTGTTCCTTCTCCCCTGCAAACCACCAGAGCCACTTCCCTAATAAAACCCTATTAAATATCACCAACTTCCTCAAACTCAACCAACCTACTACACACCCTACCCCAATCCACCAATTGGAACTCAAACTCATCCTCCCATCAACCCCAAAGGAAATTTCGCTAGAGATTCTCCAACTTGCGAGCAACCGATGCCAGAATCACATGCACATACTTAAAATAAGTAGGAATGCTTGCCAATGTACTCTTAATCAAAGTCAACTTCCCCTCTTTAGATAAATACTGTTGCTTCCATCCTGCCAAATGTCGCTAAACCCTCTCCATCACCCCGTCCCATACCGTCGTTGCCTTAAAACTTAAAAGTAGACCTCAAAGGCAAACCTAAATAGGACAACAGCGAAGTAGAAACCTTATAGCCAAGAATAGCAGCTAGCCTAGGTGTGTTCAGCACCACCCTCATTATGAACAATTTAGACTTTGCCAAATTCACTCGTAAACTTGAAACCACCTCAAAACACAAAAGAACACAGCGTAAGCACCCTAATTGGGCCTATTTACCTATTAATCATGCCTCCTTCAAGCTTTAGGAATTAGTACTATGTTGCATTTTTTTTTGTTTTGTATATTTTTCAATGAAATATTCATATATATGATATATAATAAATGTACGAAACTATATGTTTGGTGTGTGTCCCTCATGTGTCGTGTTTTACATCTTTTAAAAGTTGACATGGTGTGTCCGAGTCGTATCCGTGACTGTCCAGGTCTGAGTGTCCTAGGCCATCTGTGCATGTCATGTGGGTGACGTTCATGCAAGCAATTAATTGTGGCTAGAGCTCACTATGTCTATGACAAGTTTAAGTTTTGTTGGTTGAATCTGAATCATTTTCTGGATTTATAAGAGATTTTCTGTGCCTATGGAGAAAAGATGGAAGTTTTTTTTGATGCTTGCCTTTTTCATTAGTCTGGTATTTTTTCACTTTGATCCAGGGTACTACTTTGCTTAAAGCGTGCTTTGAGAATTGCTAATGCTGCTCAACAAATGGCCACCGCAGCAAGAGGTAGCAGCAAATTGGTCGTGCTCTTCATTGAAATACTGAACAAGTAAATAGTTCAATTCTCTTCATCTTTCCACTTCTTTAATGTCCGTATCTTCCCATATTTTCTCAAATTTATCACGAGATTTTTTATTTTTTGGGGTAATCTCAGGTATCTCTATTTCTTCGAAAAGGGAAACTCAGAGATCACTGTTGCTGCAATCCAGGGCTTGATTGAATTGATTACAACTGAAATGCAAAGTGACAATATGACATCAGATCCAGCTGCAGATGCTTTCCTCGCCAGCACACTGCGGTACATCCAGTTCCAGAAGCAGAAAGGTGGTGCGATGGGTGAGAAGTACGAGCCCATTAAGGCGTGATTATCTTGATGCAACAGCAGCATACTTCACTTCTATTTTTATTTTATTTTATTTTTTGTGGTGGGTTTGGAGTACAAAAAATAAACAATTTTCAGCTTTGGACATTGTACACACTAAGAGAATCAGGCAGTTGTATTTGTGCTTAGTTTGATGCAATGTTGGCTTTTGGTGAGCGTTTATTTTTGATGAAAATTCTGTATGTTACCAAACTTCCATTCACATCGAGTACTGCACTGAAAATCAAAGATCTGAAAATTCATTTTTGATTCAAAAAGAAGTTTACTCCAGAATGTCTCCTCCATACTTAGATTACGTTCACGGATAAGAATACTTTGCATTTTTTTTCTGACATTGAGTTGGTTGGCTTAAATATCATATAGCAGACTAAAATTGGATATCGTTTAATGTCACTAATGCATGGATTGATACAAGACATGAAAAGGACTCATTAAACTAGTTACTAGCTTTTACTGTTATGTGGGGGTCTAGATGAATCCGCAGTTGAAATTGAATCGACTAAAAATGTGAATTAGAGAATTTTTTTTGTGATTTCACATTGGATCAAGAGGCTTTGGCTTTGTGATATAAGCCTTTTGGGCACTATCTTGCAGCCCTGATTATCAAGGGTGCCTTCTTCCCAAGTAATTCGTATTATTTGGTATTTCACAATAAAGAAATAGTTTGTTCAAACCCACATCTAATTAAATTGTTAGCCCTTTGTAAAGGCAGCATATGATTTTAAGTATTAAAGGACAAAAAATTGCTAATATTATGTCATTCAGGGGGCTTCCCTATGATCTTGAAAACAAAAGTTACTGCAGTTCCCATACTAATTTTGTTTGGCATTTGTTCAAAGCAAAAGAGAAACAAAACAAAGCCCCGAAGAAAATTCAGTGAAAACCAGAGGAATCCAGACATGTTACAATTAAACAGGCATTTAGATTTTGAATGAGCAGTACAATTTGACCTTTTATTGACAAATACAATATGGTTAGGTTAACAGAAATGGGACAAAAGATACGAAATACTAGCAAGAGAGGTAGGAGTCTGAAAACATCAGCCAAAAAAAACTCCAAAGGACTTAAGCAAGAAGCATCATACCAGTTTTGACGCCTAAAACTTCACCAATTCACAAATAAGAATAAAAACCATTTCAAGTGGTACAGTCATAAAAACTACAGAAAGAAATTATGGAGTAGCTGCAACAAACAATGCAACTGCAGCTTAGGGGATTTTTGTTTTTAATTTTTTGATTTTTTGACATATGCAGCTAAATTGATCAACAACAATAAACAATTTTTTGACTAGCACAAACAACATTTCCAAATCTTTAAATTGAGATACAAAGTAATGAATAAAAACACATCACTATAACGCAAACTTGTTCTCATAACTGGAATCTTCCGGTCTATTGGGAATGAGGTGGGTACAAACACAGTGTAACTCTACAAATGGAGAGCACAAGAATACACAATAAAATTTCCACCTCACAGTTTTAGGAGATCTCCAGTACTACACATACCAGGACCTCTTGCTTCGTGCAAGACAAATGGAAGAGAAAAGGATATATAGGGAAGAAAAATGGTGAGAATTGGATGGAGGTTGCTCTTCAGACCGCTGCTTGTTCACAATATGGAGCAGGCCTTCTGCCCCTTTCCCTTCTTTTTCTTTGTCTTGGGTGGCTGGAGCACAACTTTGATGGCAGCGTCAAAAACAGCCTTTACATTCTGCCGCATAATAAAATTTTGTTCCACAAAACTTCAGTAAAGAGAAAAATGTCCACAAAAAGCATGAAAATTTAAAGACACGGCACACATACCAGCTGTGTTTTTGAGCTACACTCAATGTAAGCAGGTGCACCAATCAGCTTCCTTAGCTCCTCGCCCTTGAAGCAAAGAAGTTGAAATATTGTAAATCAGGAAAAAAAACAAACAAAAAAATAGATGAAAAAAGCCAAAAACTCAAAAAACATAACTTATTGAGCAATCACTAGGAACATGTTAAGTATTCTTTACCTGAGCAGTTGTAATTGGCACGGCGCCAGGATGGTCTATAAAGAATTGTTTATCATCCCGAAGATCTGATGCCATTATTGTCAAAATCATAAAACAATCCGATCTTAATTGTGGAACATCATTGTAATACATATCTAAGTAAGCAAATAACCTTCAACTAAAACAGAGTGACAAGAAGCATATAATCATGGTAACAGTATGGAAATTGTACTCTGAAATTTGAAATAACCAGCCCAGTCTCTGGCTTTCTAATTTCAGAGGAAAAAAGGAGTTGAAATCATGAGGATCAAAATGTGTAAGAGGAGACTAACCAAGTTTTGTTCCAACAAGAACTATAGGGACACCAGGAGCGTAATGCTTCAACTCAGGAATCCACTACAATAAATGAGGTAAAAACATTTGTATGTCATTAGAAATTAATAAATTGTGGTGGCACCTAATGATAGAATCCATTTGAGAGAGAGAAAGAGAGCATTGTCTCATATAAAACCATCCAGTCCTCACCTTTTTAGAAACATTTTCATAGCTAGCCTTGCTAATGAGAGAGAATGCTAGGATGAAAACATCCGCCCCACGATAACTTAAGGGTCTTAATCTATTGTAATCCTCCTGTCCTGTTCCATAGATCAAGTTCAAACCCAGATGATATATATATGTATGTCTGTACACTCAAACACATGTATTACTTTATGTTTGTGTAAACAAAGAAGAAAACCAATGAACTTTGAAAACTACCAGCAGTATCCCACAATCCAAGGTTGACAGTACTCCCATTGACAACCACATTTGCACTGAAATTGTCGAATACAGTCGGCACGTAGTCCTGTTCCCAATTCATACACGCAAATAAATTTGTAAGATATTTCTAAAATCTGTGACAAATAGAATCACAATTATCCCCCATGACCCCATGAAATGACAATTCACAATCATATAGAAAACTAAATGCATGATAAACAAGAACTACCTCAAATATTTCAACACAAAAAAACCCACAACATCGCAACCAATAACCATCCAACTAATTAACTCCAAGAATTCCAACACCACAAATAAATTAAATAAAACACAAAACACCTTCCTATCATTTGTTCCTTTATATGACATTGGGGGCGATCATCACCACAAATCCCAAAACACAGAGGAATGCTAGAGACCCACAATTTATAACCCACAATTCACCCACAATGCCATGACAGTGTGGTTGAATTGTGGCAGTTTTTTTAGAGTTCTCAATTTTTTTCCCAAACGAATATACTAGAAAAATGGCATTGTATAATTGAATCCCAAAATTGAGCCACAAACAAACACCAAACCAATAAAGCAAGCAACCGATTTCACAACATTGCCAAAATTGGAGGAAAACACAAAAAGCCAAAGCTTTAACATAACAAAAGACAAACAAAAATTCAGCAAATGTAGAGCCAGAGAGATACAGATATGGTGACTCACGGTGGGGAAAGTGTTGCTGGTGTAAGAAATGAGAAGACAGGTCTTGCCAACGGCACCGTCACCGACCGTGACGCACTTTATGAACCTGGAAGCACTCATTTCTTGTTTAGAAAGAAGAAGAAGAAGAAACAGACTCAGATCTTCTTAGGAAGACCTGATCACAACACCACCACTCCAATGTTATCCCCCTTCGTCCTTCTCTCTCTGTCTACCACTTTCTCTTCCAATTTTCTTTACACACACCAACGCAGAATGAAAGAACTCGGAAAACTATAGCAAACCCAAAAACCCAAATCAATAGAAAACGAATACCAATGAATCAGAATTAGCAAGAATAGCACAATCAACTGAAATTGAAGGAGGAAATGGAAACTCGAACCCTAGAGAGAGAAAATGAATGAAATAATTTGTGGGTCAGAGAGAGAGAGAGAGAAATGGGTATATTTGGATTGTATATGTGGTGTACGTATAGGTAGTGTGTGGTGGTTGGAGGTTTAAAGTCGCGGGAAACAATGCCGCTGAAGCGTTCGCTGGGGCGTAGACCCAACCATATCGTACTGGTTCTTGGTTCTGATTGGTTATCTTAACGGTTTTGTCGGTAGTTTGGATTTTGACTTTTTAACACCTAAAATCGGATATAACGGCAAAATTTTGGGGGGAAAAAAAAAAAAAATTTAGTACATTTTTACTGCCAACAACTCAAATTAATTCACTTTCTGGTTGCTTTTAAATTTTGAAAAAATAATTTTCATGTTCACAATTTCGTATTTTTTAAATTTCAGTGATTTTAAGTTTTTTAAAAAATTATTTAATTTAGATATACTTAAAAATTATAAAAATTGTGAGGAAATCTTTTAAAAATTCATTAAGTACAAAGGGTTAGTAATTTTTATTTATTTATTATATTTATTGAATTCTTTTTAGATTTATTTACAAATGCTTTATTTTTTAACTATATTTAGATTAGGTGCACTAAAAAACTTTTTGAAAAACATTGACTAAAATATGAAGATTTTTTTTTTGTTTTACTAAAAACAACAAAACATGAAAAATAAAAAATATTTTTGAAAATTTAAAACAAACAAAATGAATTTTTATGGAAGTGCAAATGAAATCAAGAGGGAATATTTTATTTAATGAGTATATCACGCAGTGTAATATTCACTTATTCATTGACATATGATAAAAAATGAGACATAAAGAGTCACTTTATGGTTGCTCGAGGTGTTGAGTGTTTGATACGTTAAATCTCGGTATCAATTTTTATCATATATCAATTAGTGAGTAGAAAGATCACACCATGTCATTTTAATTTTGTGGCTTATTCATTATATAAAACACAATTTTTGAATCCAGGACCTTCGACCTAATGATTGTATAGAATGTGAAGTTGTAAGTTTAATTTTTATAAAAAAGAGTTTGATTTCCTTTATAATAGAGGTTGTCTGTAATTTATTTATTTTCAATTTGGGTTAGTGGTGATTGTTGAACTTGATGACGTGCGGTAGTGTTTGGCAATTAGGTTTTTGGATTTTTTTTTTGATTTTTTTTACTACGAGACAAATGTTTTACAAAATTAAAAAAAATCAATCCAAACAAAATATCACATTAAACTCCATAATCATTTTATTTTTTCTCTTACAAACATCACATCCAATCGCAAAAAAATCTAACTATCTTTTCAAATACAAAATTCCAAATATAAATTTTTTTTTTCAATAATATCCTATAACTAAAAAAATTTACAAAAAAAATCCACTTCCCAAACACGTGCGTTGATTACCTAATTATATAATGTTTCTCATATATTCAATTACTCTCGAATCAATTGATCCCCTACCCTTCTGCCCTCAAAAATAAAAATGTGCAAATGAGAGCTGTGTCAAATTCCGTACAGTTTTTGTTTGCATTGGGTACTAATCGACTTGCACTTCTATAAAAATGTATTTCGTTAAGTAGTTTCTACTAAAATGCAATTTTTTTTAAAAAAAAAATTATGTACTGCTCTGGATAAATAAATACATGTGGTGCCTATATTTTCTTTTTTATTGTTTAAATATACATCAATTTCTATTTTTTTAAGCTAGTTTTTCAGAGACAATAGAATAACTGAAAAAAATATGAGTTATGTGATTGTTTCAAAATCACCAAATAACTTATCAATATATCAATCATATCAAGTAATATTATCATTAATAATTGAAAAATCTCACATTGTATTCCTTACCGGATAACTTATAATAATTATTGTATTCCTTACCAACCTAAACCCTGACCGTATTCTTTATCACCATCATAAATCCACATAATTATCTTCAATAAAAAACATTTGAAACAACTTAATAAATTAATGTTTTGTTCGATGGTTTCAAATGTGTTTGGTGTTCCAAATCAGTTAATGTTGCAAACAATCCTATTATAGACTCCGAGTTTCTACATTTGTGGTAGTTTTTACCATTTATTGAAACTTATAGAGTAATTGAGGATGATGATAACAACTCTGATGAGGTTAACGTTGCATTGGTAAGTTTATCTATCTTGTATTTATAATTCTGAGTCGTTTTCAATTTGGTACTAGTTTGCCGACTGTTAAGGTTCAATAATACAGTGCTGAACAGAAACATTTAGTTTAGTAATACAGTGCTGAACATAAACATTTTGCTCGGCACTGGAATGCTAAAAGAAATTCATATTTGAATTTATGATCCGGATTCGTGAGACTATACCTTTAAAAAGTAATGTTACAATAATTATTTGCTTTTACTCTTTTATCTTATGACCTTATGTCTATCTAATTTTATTTTTGATATTTTATTAATCGACCACTCTATGTAAGATGATATAATTATTATACTCAATATTATTTATTATTGGTCCCAAAATTTTGATTTGGGAAGACTAAATAAGTGTACTTTTTGACTTTTTTATGAAATATGGGTTGGGCTTGGGTTGGGTTTGAAGTGATGTGTTAGAGAGGTGATGTGACTTAAATAAGATGATGTGACTTAAATAGGATAGTGACTTTTTGACTTTTTATCTTTTTTCAATCTTCCCAAATTAGACCTTACAACATTAATATTTATGTTAATGTGATGATATCACCATTTAATAACTAAACACTATATCAATAAATGAACTCTGCATAATCAGAGGTGATAATTGTTAATATACGTAACTATTATTATATTATATTGAGAATTAATTCCACTTTTATCCCTTAAATTATTGTTATTTTTTCTATTTCATTCATAAACTATTAATTTCATCTATTTAGTTTTGACGTGTACAAGTCCACAAAGGCCATGAATCATTATAGACAACCCAAGTCCATCACTTGAAGTCCAATGCATAACCCAACTGGTGAGGTCCAGGACAGCTGGAGTCCAACATGGCATAAAGAGCTAATGACATTCAAACACACGGCAAGAGAAGGACGAGCCACATTAGCAGACAAAGATCTGCAAAGTTATTGCCACTGCACATCACCATTAATGCAGCCCATCACAGCATTTATTACGACAACATCTCTCTGTCGGAACAGGACCCCCTTACCTTGAACAAGGTAAGCTACAGCATAGACTTTCGGCGAGGAGGGCAGGTCGGAAGGGACAGCGAAATGATTACTAAAGGATATAAGCAAACGTTGAAGACAAGAAGGAGGTTAAGCTTTCTATCTTTAATCTCTCCCTCTATACTCTACTTCTCTTCCTAACTTGCTCGTCGGAGGGTTCACTGGGGGACTACCCCGTTTCCCATTGAACTTGCTTGCAGGTTATCTGGTGGGCTTGATCATTTGGACTTGGGCTTGAGGAGCCTGGACCAGTCCGATCCATCCACTGGGACAAACTGTATTATCAGTTGGCGCCGTCTGTGGGAACTGGTTCTTATCCGGACGCCAGTTGTGCTCATTGTCGCCGGAGACCCTGTCCTACCAACCTTTTCATCCTACCCATCCAAGTGTATGGTCACGACTAGATCTATGGCTTCTCACCATAATGCAGTCGACCATCAAACCGACCCTCTCAATCCAAACAACCCACCACAGTATATCATTGAGCTTACCAACAGCATTAACCGCATAGCCGAACAAAACCAGGCCTTGATAAATGTTTTACTCCAAAGAAACCCTCCGATGCCCCCTCCACCACCTCCAGATATCCCACCCAACCAAGAAAGAGCCCCGAGTCATACTGTTCCGCAACCCTATCCACCCAACTTGGAAGGTTTGCAGCCTCCCCCCTATGTAAATCTACCACCTCCACCCCCACACCTTTCGGTCGTGGCACCAGCCCCTGAAGGGGAGGCCAGCAGCGTCCAGCCCCCATTGAATGACCATGGTGACCACATTCCCCTCTGGGACGCTGAACTCTGAGCAATGAAACTCCAGTTCCAAGGTGTCATACAGAACATTTAGCATAAACCCTCTACCACGGCAAACTCACCATTTGTTGCCTCCATCCGGAACAAACCTTTGCCTGCCAAGTTCAAAATGCCCACCATTGACTCTTTTGACGGTACGACAGACCCGGTCGACCATCTGGAGACCTACCGTACCCTCATGATCCTCTATGCCTTCCTTGACGAGATCATGTGTCGGGCTTTCCCCGTGACACTGAAGGGGTCAGCTCGACTGTGGTTCAGCCAGTTACCAGCGGACTCTGTCTCCACTTTCCAGCATCTCAGCGACTCTTTCCTCAGCCATTTCATTGGAGTCTAGCACCAACGCCGCCCTGCAACCCAAATCCTCAACATCCGTCAGACCGAAGGGGAGTCGCTGAGCAGTTTCGTTACACACTTCAACACCGAAGCCCTGCAAGTAACGGAGAATGACGACAAGGTCATCCTCACTGCTTTCATGGCTGGGCTACGATCGTCTGATTTCCTCTTCTCCCTCTCCAAAAGCCCCCCGACCTCCATGGTAGCCCTACTCTCCAAAGCCCAAAAATACATGAATGCCGAAGATTTACTAGCCGCTCGGCAGGATCCAATATCTAAAAACCCGACCTCCAGAGAAAAGAGAAAAGACTCAGAACCCAGAAACACCTAGTATAACAGCCAAACACCCCACTATACCGACCGACCTCTTCGCGCTGACCGGTCGGCACCAGCCCGACCGCCCGATCGGTACACGTCCCTTAATTCTCCCATGGAACAAGTCCTCCACCAGATCCAATGGGACTACCCCCTCAAATGGCCCCTACCCTCACGGACCCCTTCTAACCGGAAAGACCAGTCCAAATATTATCGTTTCCACCAAGACCATGGCCACAACACTGATGACTGCATCAACCTCAAAGATCAGGTCGAGACCCTAATACGTCAAGGGCGTCTCAGCCGGTTCACCGACACCCGCCCACAGCAGAGGCAAAGAACCGAACCCCTCAGAAACAACCGCCGGCGCACCCCACCCTGGCAGCTAGCCCAACCTAACCAAGGCCATGATCGCCCTCCACAACAGCCTCGGCCGCCAGGCAATCCCCCTCTGCCAGTCGGTGAAATCCTAGTCATTTCAGGTGGCCTTGCTTGTGGGAGACCATCCCGCTCGGT